AGAAAGAAAGAAAGAAAGAGAAGGAAACGTAAAAAAGGAAAGGGGAAATATATGAATGCTAAGAAGAAAGAAAGAAAGAAAGAAAGAAAGAAAGAAAGAGAAGGAAACGTAAAAAAGGAAAGGGGAAATGTATGAATGCTAAGAAAGAAAGAAAGAAAGAAAGAAAGAAAGAAAGAAAGAAAGAAAAAAGAGAAGTTAAGGTAAAAAAGTAAAGGGGAAAATGTATGAATGCAACGAAGAATAAGAAAAAATAGAAGAAAAAAAGAAAAATTAAGATATTTTATTAAAAATCTCGATTAATCGCATAAAAATACATGCAAGGAAGAAAAAAAACGTGAAGAAATGAGAACAGAAACTACGGAAGGAAAGTAAAAAAAAAATGTCCGACTTCTGTTTGATGAAGGGTCGATCAAAAATGAATGCCTTTTCGAATTTAATTTCAAAATTATTAGCGAGAATTCTTCTGAGATATCCGCTATTAAATATAAAAATCTTTGAAGGCCATGAAAATAATTATTGTCACATTTCCTACCTTATCCACTTTTAAAGATCCTCACTGAAAACAAAGATCTGTCATAGAATGTTTGATTTTTTTTAAACGAACGTCTTTCACACATTCACTTGTTCTTGGTAGTGAATACGCCATTGGGATGAAATAGTTATTAGACTTAATAGCTATCCTAGAGAAAAAGGTGAAATTGACCCAAGTGACGGCCACCACGATGGAGTTTCAGCTACTGTGATCAGCGTTTCGTTTTGGTGTTGTTAAAATTAACAAGCCATTCCTTGCCCTATTTAACAACATAATGTACATCATTTTTTCGATCAGCTACCTATTTGATACCAAAAATGGGCATTCCTTTTTGATCGACTGTTGTACCAAATTCCTGTCATGTTTGTAGTAATTTTGTGTTATGGGACCTTACCCATAATAACATAATGGACTATTCCATACGTAATAAATACTGCGCCTCAAGAGGGAGCAGGGAGTGCAGTCTGAAGTCTGGAGTGAAGTCCGTCATGTGTCTGTCAGTCAGAGCGAGCGAGTCAATCAGTCGAGTCAGAGGCAGTCTGAAACAGAGTCGTGTTCAGACAATTACTACTAAACCTGATTTGATCGTACTAACACTTTCTACTTCTCTGTATATATTCCCGTTTGTAATATATCTGTGTTATTCCATATCCGTGTTCAAGATCTTCTTTATTGATTCTACCTTGGACTGTCACCGTGGTACAAGAAACCGGACCATGACATTTTGGTATTCGTTTTCCGTTTACTATTAAACTAGAAAGACACATCGGTCGAGCAAGCTCTGATATTCATGAGTCTATCGCCTCAATCATCAAGGTCAGAATGTAATTAGTGTGGCATTCTGTGTCATAACGGTGGTCAATATCAATGGTTTCTTCGAGACCAGCCGGTCTTGCTTCATGGCTAGCTGACCAGAGCAGTATATCACCCTCGAGTACTTGTTTTGTTCGCCAGCAGTATCCTGTAAAAGGCGTTCTGCATTCGCAGAAGACTGTAGAAATATCAGGGATTGGTTTATAGAGTTGTTATTTAGACGGTTGTTATCTCCAAAGGGATCTTAACTATAGTTCTTAGCATTTGATTGAAGGTTTCATCAAGCTTTGGTTTGGTTTATTTTATTTTACGGCATATCGACACCTCAATGGGTTATTTAATGCCGTCAAGATTTTAAGGATATATTCGTATGAATAGAATATGTATTCTTTGTAAGCAATAATTTTGTAGATCAGGTTTCATTGACGTATTTTTACGAAGAATTTTTTTGTCGAGAGTCAAATGTATTGCTGATATTTTTTTTCAAAAGTGTATTGCTGGTATTTTTTACTATAAAAATCTATTTTTATACTTTCATTTTGACCCCTTTGGGCGAAGGGTAACTATTTGCCCATAGCTGAGACCCTAGCAGGTGCTACCACCCCGTATGAACCTGAGAACAACAGTAATTAAGAGGTGGTTGCATGCTCCTCATAACTTCCAGATCAGAAGCTTTGCTGCCGGATGTCGTCATACCCAGGACAATCTCAAGCTTAGATTCTAGGATTTTAGTTAATGTCCAAGCAGTGGCACCATATATTAACGCTCAGAAGAATTTCCGTTTGATGTTCTCTGGCAGATCTAATTTCCAGATTACATCCATTTTTATTCAAGTTTTAGCTATGTGAATTTTCAGATTCTTTTCAGTTTTTCTTCGGTTCTTACTGTACAGCCTGTTATCACCCACTCTCATATCTTTATTAATGTGGGCTTCATTTTCGCTTATGTCCCCCCCCTGTGTTTTGTACTCAGTGAGAAGTGTAATTTGCACTTTGCTGTCAGACGAGTTTTCTGATCATTGCCCAACGTCGAGGCAACTTGGCATACGATCTTATAAAAGACAAAAAAGAAAAAAAAAATGAATGAAGCATCGAATGAAAAATTTGCATACAGAAGCAAAATCAGAAAGAAAGTATGAAAGATATTTAGAATGAAAAAAAACGAAGAAAAAAATGAAAGAAAAAAAAAATTGAAAATAAATAACAGCGAAGGAGAATGTTTACATCAATCAAAAAACATTGTTTGATTTATTTATATATTTATTTATTTTCTTCATCTTTCGGTTTAGTTTTTAAGTTTTCCATTTTTATCTCCCTTTATTGAGTCAGATTTCCCCGCCAGCACCTCTTCTGTCGGCGACTCAGTCAAATAAAAATGTCGAAAATAAAAAATGCTTTGTCATTATTATAGGTATTGTATTGTTTTTTGTTTGTTTTTTGTTTGGGCTTTTTTTTCTTTCTTTTTTATTGAATATACACTGCAAACGATAAAAAATAAATTATATGGAAACTAACGGAATTCGCCAAATGCACAGATAATTGTATATATGTATGTATGTACGTACGTATGTATGTATGTATGTATGCATGTTTCAAATGTATGTATGTATGTATGTTTTGTATGTATGCATGCCTGTATATATATGGGCGCGTGGCCGTGTGGTTAGAATGTACGCTTTCTGACCATGAAACCCGGGTTCGAATCTCACCACTGTTGATTTCTCAGGGAGTAGACGCGATCCCAGCCTGAAAAGTTTCTGAAATCCATACCACGGGTTGACCCAAGTGTTGGGGCTCGATAGCTGTGCTAGCACGATATCACAAGTCATCGTGACAGAGGTGCTGAGTCTGCCGGCCTTGTTCAGATTGTTGATCACGCCAGATAACACGCTCTCTCTCATAAACTGTAACTAAGGTCTGCTCAGCATAGTTGCAGTATAAACCAAAGGTGGACTCTGTGGGTGTTGAACAGACGCAAATGTGCCTGTGAGAGCGTCTGAATTATGGATTGGCTAGCCGCCCTAAAAGACGGGTACTGTCTAATACGGGTGGCCAGCTATTATTATATTCGAAACACACTGTGGTCACGTAATAGGTAAGACGGTTGGAAAAAAACTAAAAAACCGTACTATGGTTTACGTGTTGAAGGAAATTTGTGATCATAACCGATGATTTGAGCCTACTCTTCTTGTTCAGATAGTTAATCACGCCATATTATTTCGCTCTCTGCTAGATAGAGTGACAAATGTCTGTACTGTATAGTACGATTACCATATTATGTATCTATATAGGTATGTATGAGAGAGACTCCGAAAGTAACGCTTCATATTTGTGTTATGTTGAGTACCTCCCTCTTACGTTTAACAAACGTGTTTTCTCACTAATGCTGCTCTCTGCTCTCTATTTATGTTGTCATTCTCATTTGCATACAAAACTACACCTCCCTGAATCGAAGAGGCCGGACACCCTTGTTTTTTTTTTTCTTTTACTATTTCTGATTATTCTCGTACCGTTCACTTCTATCGCTTGTCTTTCTTGTTTTCTTTTTAATGGTGATCTTGGTCTTTCTTCATTTTCTTCTTCACTCTAGTCCGTCTTATCACTCTCATTTTCTTCCATTTCCTGCTTTGTTCCATTTCTGTGACTTTCTGTCTCTTCTTGCTATTGATCCGCCATTTCCATGTCATCCAATTCGTTTCTGATTCTGAAGTGATCCGCATGTGCTAATATATCTTGTCCCTTTTTTCTCCAGTTATAGCTGTGTTGTGTCCTTTTTTTCATCAAGAAATTTGCTTCTTCTGAATCAGCCTCTTTATTCTTTCTATACCATACCTTTTCTTTCGTTGAAAAGGACATAGTTATGGGGGCTCTGATTTGTCTTCCCATTAATGCCGAAGGGCTCACTTTTCTCCCCGCATGTCGAATGGATCTGTAACTGAGAAGAATTTTCGGTAAATACGCTTCTAGGCTTTCAACAACTGGTGAAAATGATTTTTACCCCATTTTCATCGTTGGTACCATTCTTTCCCCCAATATATATATCCTATCTGTTTCAACCATCCATATAAATCATCATCGCAAAATTCGGGTGCATTGTCAGTGACTACTGACTGGGGTACTCCATTCCTTGAGAATATCATTCTAAGTACAGTGTAACCCGGATATAAGAGACTCGGATATAAGAGAAACCCGGATATAAAATTAACACAGGCTCTAATTTGGGACCAGAGGAAATCTCTCTTATATCTGGGTTTCTCTTATATCCGGGTTTGGTCTATTATATATATATTAACACAGGCTCTAATTTGGGACCAGAGGAAATCTCTCTTATATCCGGGTTTCTCTTATATCCGGGTTTGGTCTATTATATATACATTAACACAGGCTCTAATTTGGGACCAGATGAAATCTCACTTATATCCGGGTTTCTCTTACATCCGGGTTTGGTCTATTATATATACATTAACACAGGCTCTAATTTGGGACCAGAGGAAATCTCTCTTATATCTAGGTTTCTCTTATATCCGGGTTTGGTCTATTATATATACATTAACACAGGCTCTAATTTGGGACCAGAGGAAATCTCTCTTATATCCGGGTTTCTCTTATATCCGGGTTTGGTCTATTATATATACATTAACACAGGCTCTAATTTGGGACCAGATGAAATCTCTCTTATATCCGGGTTTCTCTTACATCCGGGTTTGGTCTATTATATATACATTAACACAGGCTCTAATTTGGGACCAGAGGAAATCTCTTTATATCTGGGTTTCTCTATATCCGGGTTTGGTCTATTATATATACATTAACACAGGCTCTAATTTGGGACCAGAGGAAATCTCTCTTATATCTGGGTTTCTCTTATATCCGGGTTTGGTCTATTATATATACATTAACACAGGCTCTAATTTGGGACCAGAGGAAATCTCTTATATCCGGGTTTCTCTTATATCCGGGTTTGGTCTATTTTATATACATTAACACAGGCTCTAATTTGGGACCAGAGGAAATCTCTCTTATATCCGGGTTTCTCTTATATCCGGGTTTGGTCTATTATATATACATTAACACAGGCTCTAATTTGGGACCACAGGAAATCTCTCTTATATCCGGGTTTCTCTTATATCCGGGTTTGGTCTATTATATATACATTAACACAGGCTCTAATTTGGGACCAGAGGAAATCTCTCTTATATCCGGGTTTCTCTTATATCCGGGTTTGGTCTATTATATATACATTAACACAGGCTCTAATTTGGGACCAGAGGAAATCTCTCTTATATCCGGGTTTTCTCTTATATCCGGGTTTGGTCTATTATATATACATTAACACAGGCTCTAATTTGGGACCAGAGGAAATCTCTCTTATATCCGGGTTTCTCTTATATCCGGGTTTGGTCTATTATATATACATTAACACAGGCTCTAATTTGGGACCAGAGGAAATCTCTCTATATCCGGGTTTCTCTTACATCCGGGTTTGGTCTATTATATATACATTAACACAGGCTCTAATTTGGGACCAGAGGAAATCTCTCTTATATCTGGGTTTCTCTTATATCCGGGTTTGGTCTATTATATATACATTAACACAGGCTCTAATTTGGGACCAGAGGAAATCTCTCTTATATCCGGGTTTCTCTTATATCCGGGTTTGGTCTATTATATATACATTAACACAGGCTCTAATTTGGGACCAGATGAAATCTCTCTTATATCCGGGTTTCTCTTATATCCGGGTTTAGTCTATTATATATACATTAACACAGGCTCTAATTTGGGAACAGAGGAAATCTCTCTTATATCCGGGTTTCTCTTATATCCGGGTTTGGTCTATTTTATATACATTAACACAGGCTCTAATTTGGGAGCAGAGGAAATCTCTCTTATATCTGGGTTTTTCGTATATCCGGGTCTCTTATATCCGGGTTACACTGTATAACAGACCAAACCCGGATATAAGAGAAACCCGGATATAAGAGAGATTTCCTCTTGTCCCAAATTAGAGCCTGCGTTAATGTATATAAAATAGACCAAACCCGGATATAAGAGAAACCCGGATATAAGAGAGATTTCCTCTGGTCCCAAATTATATGATATGCCTTCTTTCGATATTTGATATCCTAAATATGCAGTCAAAACTGCATTTCTCTTGGTTATGCCTGCCTTGTTCAACCTCACTAAAATTTGTTCTGTTTTATGTTTCAATTCTTCTCTGGTTCTTGCCCCTACATATATATTTTCCGGGTATATTATCATTTTTTTAATTTTTTTTCTAAGATTCTTTCAATCGCTTTCTGAAAAATATAACTCGACGTCTTTGCCCAAACGGCAGACGAGTCTATCTTAGTAAGCCAATAGGAATGTTTATCGTAGTTACTTCTCGGGAACAGGATTGCGAAAGAGATAGATAGATAGATAGATAGATAGATAGATAGATAGATAGATAGATAGATAGATAGATAGATAGATAGATAGATACCGCAACAAATTTAGATACATACATACATACATACATACATACATTCAGCGAGACGGGAGCATTTTGAAATAGATAGATAGACAGAGAGAGAGAGACGGGAAAACGATTGCGAAAGAGATAGATAGATAGATAGATAGATTGAGAGAGAGAGAGAGACGGGAGCATTTTGAGATAGATAGATAGATAGATAGATAGATAGATAGATAGATAGATAGATAGATAGATACAAAAATACATACATACATGCATACATACATACATAGATTCAGAGAGACGGGAGCATTTTGAAATAGATACAGAGAGAGAGAGAGAGAGAGAGAGACGGGAACAGGATTGCAAAAGAGAGAGGTGAATAGATAGATAGATAGATAGATAGATAGATAGATAGATAGATAGCTGAACAGATTCAGATAGATAGATAGATAGAAAGAGAGAGACGTGAATAGATAGATAGATAGATAGATAGATAGATAGATAGATAGATAGATAGATAGATAGATATAAACACTGTGAATTTGGTATGAACAGAATAAACTAACTACTTACATAAATACATATATGCATAGATATATTTTATTTATTTATGTATTTTATCGGTTGGACGACCGCTCGATTTTCCTATTCGTTTCAACCAAATTTCGTTTTCGCTTCCTATTTTTGTTCCTGGCCATGATTTTTTCATTTTGCACAACCCTTATTCAATTTTCGGCCATTTTCTTAACTGTGTTTTCTCGATTTTTTTTTTTTTTTTTTTTTGTATTGGCCGTGGATATAAGGCTGCCGAACGTCAAAATCGAATCGAAATGTGTGTCTCTCTCTCGAAAATGAAATGTTGAATACGAACGGAAACGAACATATCACAATGCGACGAGAGAGAAACGTCCTACTACCGATTATCACGCTTTTCTCGATTTTTGGGGGTTTTTTTGGGTGGAGGGGGTTGTTTTTTGTTTTTTTTTACTGTTTTGCTTTGTTTTGCTTTTTATTATTTTATTTATTTATCTATTCCTTTACTTATTTATCTATTTTGTTTTTGTTCTGAAACCAGCACACGTCAGAATAGCTTGTTTCTCTGTACGTATTACTCAACCCCAAGGCATTCTCCATTTTCACAATGCATCAAACACTGACCCAGACAGAAAGATGTAGATTGTAAATAGTAGTAATAATAATAATGAGAAGAAGAAGAAGAAGAAGATTAAGATGAAGAAGTAGTAGAAGTCGAAGATTAAGAGGCTGAAGAAGAAGAAGAAGAAGCTGAAGAAGAACATTAAGAAGAAGAAGAAGAAGAAGATGATGATGAAGTAGAAGATTAAGAATCTGAAGAAGAAGAAGAAGACGAACATTAAGAAGAAGAAGAAAAAGAAGAAGTATAAGAAGATTAAGTATAAGATGAAGAAGTAGAAGTAGAAAAATATTAAGAAGCTGAAGAAGTAGAAGAAGCAGAAGATTAAGAAGAAGAAGCTGAAGGAGAAGAAGAAAAAGAAAAAGTAGAAGATTAAGAATAAGATGAAGAAGAAGTAGAACATTAAAAAGAAGATTAAGAAGAAGACGACGAAGAAGAAGATAAAGATTAAGAAGAAGAAAAAGAAGTAGTAGAAGAAGATTAAGAATAAGATGAAGAAGAAGTAGAAGCAGAAGAAGATTAAGAAGAAGAAGAAGAAAAATAGCATGAAGAAGAAGAAGAAGAAGACGAAGAAAAAGAAGAAGAAGAAGAAGACGAAGAAAAAAAGAAGAAGAAGAAGTAGAAGAAGAAGAAGAAGAAAAAGAAGAAGAAGAAGAAGACGAAGAAAAAGAAGAAGAAGACGAAGAAGAAGAAGACGAAGAAAAAGAAGACGAAGAAAAAGAAGAAGTAGAAGAAGACGAAGAAAAAGAAGAAGAAGACGAAGAAGAAGAAGAAGAAGACGAAGAAAAAGAAGAAGTAGAAGAAGACGAAGAAAAAGAAGAAGAAGAAGAAGAAGACGAAGAAAAAGAAGAAGAAGAAGACGAAGAAAAAGAAGAAGAAGAAGACGAAGAAGAAGAAGAAGAAGAAGACGAAGAAAAAGAAGAAGAAGAAGAAGAAGACGAAGAATAAGAAGAAGAAGAAGAAGAAGAAGAAGAAGAACAAGAACAAGAACAAGAACAAGAACAAGAACAAGAAAAGTAATCCGAAGATTGAGAATGCAAAATAGTTTGGAAAATTCTAGGTATCTGAAGAAAAGCAGATTCCGCACAATGAAAAGGATTGCTAAACCCATCTGGAATACTGCGGAAAGTGCTGGGGTATTTCGGAAAGTTAAGCTGAAGTGAAAAATATCGCGTGAAAACGAAATGATTGCACATTGTCACTGGCAATGATGATGAATGAATGAATGAATGAATGAGAGACATTAATATTAGTAGCAAATCTGCTTTTAATAATACAACTCTTTTAGTTTACATGGAAGATGAGGAGGATTATGAACGGCTAACAATAAGGTGGGATGATTCTTTATTTTTACTCTTAAATTAATGACAACTGGAGAGAGTCGGATGATGATGATGATGATGATGATGATGATGATGATGATGATGGGCAAAGTACTACAACAAGAACAACAACAAATGCTACTACTCCTACTACTAATAATAATGAGAATAATAATAAGATGATGGAAAATCTGAATCTTTTACGATAAGAAAACTGCCAGAAACTGGTATGAACACCACCCAGACCCGGTTGCAGAGATAGGACCTGTAACAGTTTTATGGGACCTTACAAAACACACAAACAGAACAATGAAAACTAATCTGCCAGACATCGTGATCAAAGACCGCAAAAATAGAATGAGCTTTCTTATTGACATAACATTCCCTGCGGATTGTCATCTATCTTTAAAGTTCTTGAGCATTTTAATCTTCCAAATTAAATAAATATAATACACCTATATTATAAATTTTAAAATCAATTTAAATTTTAAAATTAAATTAACAAAATAGTTTTAGTTCATAAACCTTATGGACGATTTACGTTTATTTATTTTTTTAACTATTTTTTAGTTCACTCAGTACAAGGCCAAATGGCTGGTCATGGTCAAGGGAGACGAAGTTGTTAAGAGAGGAGGAGGAAGGAGGAAGTGAATATTATGAGGGAATGATGGTCGTATACCGGTTGGCCCTCTTGAGGTTATGATCGTAGTGATCCGTGAAGAAACATCTCTGGAGCCTGTTCCATAAAGTAACAGCTCTGGAGAAGTAGCTATCTGAGTGGAACTTACTCCTTAGCAAAAGAACACGAACCAAATAAAGACGATTTGTCACTATGAATATGATGGGTTCTAGCAGTGAACATCTGAAATGATGGCACTAAGAAATTGTAGTTTGAAAAAAAAAAAAAAAACTTACCTGATGGATGTCTGTACGTAAAAAAGAATCTCGTGGGGAAGCCATATTGTTTTTATGCTGGCAAATTAACGCAAAATCACGGCGACCACGAGATTTGAGAAAATATAAATATGCAGTGTACAAAAGACGGGTGAGAAAAAGAAGTAAGACCAGACAATACGACAAATACATCTACACTTTGTCACTCGTGGATTAGCACCTATTAAGGAATTAAGGAGGAACCCCGGGGCGGTGTAATGGTTAACAAGCTTGTCTCGCCAGTACAATTATGACTGAATAGTGAGTTCGATCCTCACTGGGTTCCCCATACTTTCGGCCTTGTACCACATCTAAGCTACGCTTGGAAAATCGTTACTAATGAATTAAAGCCAGTCTCTAGAATTTCAACTAGGGAAATGTAACTAGAAAGAACAATTCTTATTTTTATTATAATTAATATTTTTTTCTAACGAAACAAAACTAAATGTGAATTTTAAATATTACTAAACTACGCGTAACCCGTTGGGTCATTGACAATTCAAGTTATAAAACATTGAAATTGATTTCAACATTCCAATTAAATGAAAGTTAAATTCATTATGATTCAGTTAAATACTTCAATTCTTTCCTGTCATCATTGTTCTGATTTACAAAGTTCATGTTTAACGTTTTACTGATTGTTTACAGCATTTAATACGAATAGAACTTCCGGGATAAACTTGAATTTTAAATCAGATTAACCTCAAAATATATTTTTAATATGCCAAAAACTATTTTTAAATCATATTCACCTGAAAATAGTTTTTAAATATGCCAAAAATATTTTTTTTTAAATATTTAAAATATTCTTTGTTTAAAGAAATGTGAAATATAAATAATCACTCTACAAACAACTGGACTAAACAGCAAACTTAAACTTAAAAATATTATAATTAAAAAATTGTCCGTTTGAAGAAAGTTAAAATAAAACCACTTACTGTATAAACAACTTGTATTTTTAAATCTTATTCACTTAAATCAGATTAACTTAAATCATCATGCGCCGGACAGACGAACCGCACAATAACACACGCAATCACAGACTTTTAGTATTATATAGCTATAGAAATAATTAAAAATATTAAATTATTCTTTAAAATTTCTATGCATTTCGAACTAATTTATTTTGTTGTCTATGATAGATTTGAAAAATTGTTTTTAATTATTTCACACCAAGCAAGGTGATAATGCCACTAAGACTCAAGGGAGTTTACTGGGAGTGGATGAAAATGAGGCGACTTTAGTGAGGAGAAAGGACTATAAAAGAAGAGTTTTCAAGATGACAGAAGATGGCGGCTGACGTTGCAGTTCAATTTTTAAACATTGTAGGTGTCGGGGAAAACCGTAAATTAATTCCACAGGTGAGAAGTACGAGAAAAGAAACTATGAGAATAGAACTTACGGTTTGGTTTTTTATTTGTCATCGTATAGGGCTTGCGGGGCTTGCGGGGCTCATTGATCCCAAGAGCAAAGTCATCCCGATGTCCAGTTCCTGTATGGCCACCCATGGCGGTAAACTTGAGGAGAAGAGACCAGAGTAAACGCGAAGAGACCAGACTAAATCCCCGAAGACACCAACGGCGGAATAGGCAAAGATCTACAGTGTAGATCTTTGCCTATTCCGCCGTTACTATTCCACAAGGAACGTCAAAATACTTCAAAGTGAAAAAAAATCCACCGAAGTGAAATGGATGAAATTATGACGTGTAGGTTTGAAACTGTTATTGAAAATTGTTCCACAAACGAACCACCACACACACACACACACACACACACACACACACACACACACACACACACACACACACAAACAAAAACAAAAACAACATATACACATACATACAGTACAAATAGTTGCAAACATATACACTTACGTACGTACACATGCGGTATCATCCACACATTCATGAGGCATGTATGTATAATGCGCGTATGTTTAACTGTCTTTAGATTTCTGCTACCTCGCATGTCAGTCCCTCCCTTGCCTCTTTCACTTTATTATTCCTTTCGCTTCTGTTATCTTTTAATGTAGCCAAGGGTCATAACAAATATGTATCCATTATATGACATTAAACGTAGGCAACGCAACTTGGTAAACTAAGTCTCATGAAAGATAACTAGCAGAATTCGAAAGCCTCGTCTCTCATGTTAAAAATATAGTCATTAGTAATCAGGCTCCCGGGCCGGTCAAAATGCCTTTGCGGGCCGTATCCGGCCCGCGGGCCGTAGGTTGTCGACCCTTGATCTACACGATCTCAACGGCAAACAGTCGGAACAGAGCAGCGCCAGT